CACTTATAGATTATAACCCCCAGCAAATAGTACTCTCCTTTCTGTATTGCCAAAGATGGGGGGCTGAACTCCTTTTGCAGAGAACACCTTTCTGCGTAGGCGGCTTTCGGCTTGCAAATACATATTTTTCATGGAAAGGTTTATATTTTTAATGCTTACTGAAAATAAGATATATTTCTTTTGTCCCTCATCCTTCTTGTATATTTTGCGATTTACAGCTAAACGCCGTCATTTAATTTTCATATGCAACCAAAAGCAGACGCGTGATTAATTGCTTAAAATTAAAGTTATAAGTAAGTAGTTATAAGTAATCGAATAAAGTGTAAAGTGAAGGGGAATATAAAAATGTATTGGTGAAGTGGCTGCTTTAAGGAGAATAGGTGCGATAAATGTACGCTAATTTCCGAATTTCACAAAAAAGGGCATATATCAAACCGAATTTCTAAATAAATTAGTGGCCGAAAATTACAAGAGTGAGTGTTAAAATAATATGTAGATCCTTGATTACCAGAGTCCGCAAATTTTTTTTTGGATCGGGTCACCAGTTTGGACCCCGATATAGTTGGGCAACTTACTAAACAGTACCCCATATTTTTCTTAATTCCGTACTCGGGGGTTACCAATCTAAACCCCACCCTTTTTCCGCCCATTTATACCTGGTTCCGCTAAAGTACACTATTACCAAAGTTTTAGTAATTAGTGATCGCCACGAGCCGATGACGGTAACAAAAGCTTTGAGACAAGTCACAATTTCAATTGATACGTCCAGATCAAAAGCATATTTATTTTTTATTTATTTATTTTTTAGTCTGTTAGACTTATATTGCAACAAAGATTTAACATTCTTATAATTAGATTTTAGATTTAAAATGTAAATATTAAATACAAAATACAAAATGCTCTACAGAAATTTTTAAATAACATTATTTCTTTATCACTGCAATTATTTTATGTCAATATAAACGCATGCAATTTCCTGGAAGTTATGTATACGGTTGGAAAGGCCAAGTTTCCAATCCGCGCTATTCTTTTTGGGTTACTCCATTTATTGATATCTCCTGGGTGGTCAGAAAGGCCGAGTTTTCGATCCACCCAGTCGCGCTTTCTTGACGGTTGACGGTTGGAAAGGCCTAGTTTCCAATCCGCTCGTTTATTGTTTATTATCTAAGGGTCTAGGTAGTCGGAAAGGCCGAGTTTCCGATCCGCCTAGTCTCGATATCTTGGTGGTTGGAAAGGCCTAGTTTCCAATCCACGCTATTGTTGATACATCACTATCTTGTAGGCTGCGTTCTACAATAGTGAAATAGCAGCCGCTTGAAAAGAGTGATAGTATCACAATTTTTTATAGCCTCTGGTAATTCATAGCCAATGGGTGTGTAATATTTATTTATTGGGTTGGGTTCCGAAAAGTATCTGTAGGTTAGGGGCTGGTACAAAAAAAAGGGGGCTGGCCCCGTCCACCTTTACAGCTTGAAAGAGCAAAGACCAAGGAGTTCAATGATATGCTTTTCTTTCTCCTCCGACTACAGGGCTCCTCAGGCGAGCCGCTTAAAATTGGGAAAAAATCGTTGGTTAGGGGAAACTTTCCAATACCGACGTCCATTAAAGGGGCGGTGGGCGAACGGGGAGTGGGCGTGGCACCTCCAACCACCCTTTTTGGAGAGGGCATAAACCATTGACAAAAATGTCTCCCCGACCATCTGGGCCCCCTACGGTTCCCTAGGAACCCCTTAGAAAAATGGCCAAAAATCACAATTTTTAAAATTCCTTTATGCGTAGGCGGCCTTCGGCCGCGCGCAAAGTATGCCACATAGATCGTTGCAGCTACAGCGCGAACCGAAAATATGGCCAAATTCCATCTTTTTGCGCGCGTTGACAGTCAGCCGGTATAATATTTATTTTGTTTCGTTCAAATTAGAAGTTTCATGCAGAAGCATAAAATTTAATTACATTGCTGATATTTGTAAAGGTAGATATTAAATATCACAGCAATTTTAACGAGTAAAAACAGTACGAAATTGTTTTCTTGGCGTTCATTATGGCATACCTTTTGCGTCTGGCGCGTTGCTGGCAAAGTTATATATCTGTGTTCGTATGGAATAGTAGCTTATGTTGTTGTTGTTGTTGTTGTAGCGGCTACAACAACCCCGCCCAGATCGGTTGGTATCTCAGTCGTTGTCGTCAAGTTCCACTAACGGCAACCCTAGGAAGCGTGCAGCTTCTGCGGGGTTTGCCCATAAGGACAAGGTCGTTAGGGATGTCGGGTTTGCCGGGCATGCGAAGAGATGTTTCGAGTCATGTGGGGTCTCTCCGCATGCCGGACATTCATTAGGCACATCCTCATTCAGCCTACTCAGGTAGGAGTTTAACCTGCTGCAGTAGCCGGAGCGAAGTTGTGCAAGTGTGGTGCGCGTCTCCCGAGGCAGATGAAGCTCCGTCTCGTCAATGTCCGGGGGTGGTGTGCCTAGAACGGCATTCACAGGTCTAGAGTCTACATAACTCGAGACTGAGTCCCTGTGAATGCCGTTCAAGGCCTGTCTGTAGGCTGTCGGGTCCAGAGGTTGCTTAATGAACCTCTGGACTTCGTCCGTTAGTTCATATAGATGCCTCCTGACGTGCCTAGGCGAGGGCTCCTCTGCAAGCAGCTGTCTGCACGGGTGGCCACTTCTGTGGGTCCCGATCAGGAACTGCTTGCAGAGCATTATATTGTGCTCCTTTACAGGGAGCATTTGCGCCTCGCCGTGCAGGTGGTGTTCAGGCGTCATCAGGAGGCATCCCGTCGCTGTCCTCAGTGCGGTGTTTTGTGCGGTCTGTAGCTTCGTCCACTGCGTCCTACTAGTCCCAGGCGACCACACTGGCGCTGCGTAGTTCAAAACCGGCCGGCCTATTGCCTTGTATGTTGCCAGCAACGTTTCTTTGTCTTTGCCCCAAGTACTGCCGGCTAGCGACTTGAGGACCTTGTTGCGGCTCTGTACTTTATTGACAATAGCGGTTGAGTGCGCAGAGAAGGAGAGCAGGCTGTCGAAAGTTACTCCGAGTATTTTGGGGTTATTCACCGTCGGAATTGGTGTGTCATCGACGTGAATCCCCAGCGGTAGCCTGACCTCCTTCGTCCAGGTTGTGAACAGGGTCGCGGAGGATTTCGTAGGGGAGAGGGCTAGACACTTTGCAGAAAGGCTTGCTGTAGTACAATGCGGCATTCACAGCATACGATTTCGAATTACTCACTGGTGCCCAGCCGTTGAAGAACTTTTGGTAAATAAGCGTGAAAGAAATAGTTTCGATACCAGCAAGTAATGTTGTTGTTGTTGTAGCGGCTACAACCCCGCCCAGGTCGTTGCAAGTAATATTCTTATTAGGTCTCATTAAAAAAATCCTTGTCTTTTAAAGAATAAAGGGAATGCCGCATTATACTAAAGCCAGCTTCCCAATATAAGCTAATATTCCATACGAACACAGTTATATATGTATATGGAATCAGTTTAAATCACACAAAGCTGCCACTTCGTTGGAACAAGGCCGGGTTTTCGGCTGAAATTTCCAATAATAGACAATTTCTTATTTCAGGCAAAGTATAGGGAATTTTTTAATGAAATTGGCAGGGGGTGTTGAGGAAGTGCGCATCGACCGATATTTTAAACATTTTGAGTAGAAATGCTAACAGTTTTATAGTTATTTGTTGTTAAAATTTCTCCATTACCTTACATATTTTAAAATGGTGGCGTTTAGCTGTCAAACTGCTAAATATACAAGAAGGATGAGAGACAAAAGAAAATATGATATAACCCAGTCAGCATTAAAAATATAAACCTTTCCATGGAAAATATGTATTTACTGTCCCTGTGGCTCCTTTCGCTGAGGGTTATAATCCCTAAGTGCGGCCGAAGGCCACCTACGCAGAAAGGTGTTCTATGCAAAAGGTGTTCGGCCCCCTTTCTTTGGCACCACAGAAAGGAGAATTCTACTGCCTGAGGGTTATAATCCCTAAGTGCGGCCGAAGGCCGCCTACGCAGAAAGGTGTTCTATGCAAAAGGTGTTCGGCCCCTTTTCTTTGGCACCACAGAAAGGAGAATTCTACTGCCTGAGGGTTATAATCCCTAAGTGCGGCCGAAGGCCGCCTACGCAGAAAGGTGTTCTACGCAGAAAGGTGTTCGGCCCCTTTTCTTTGGCAACACAGAAGAGAATTCTACGTAGTGAGGGTTATAATCCCTAAGTGCGGCCGAACATTTCTATCGCTTTTTTCTTAATTTCACAATATTGTTAGTTAATTTTTTTCCCCATCATTTTTTTTTTTCAAATCGCCTGATAACCAACTTGGGATAATTTCTTTTATTTAAAAATCCCACGTTTTTCGTTAGTTGGGTTATATTCCACTTGAAACTGCTCAGTTTGCCTCGGAAAATTACGTTTTTACCCCATTTTCAAACGGTTCCCTAGGGGTCTGTGGGTGGTCCCCAAGGGGGGGTGGGGCTTTTCGTAAAGTGGCGACTGTCCCCTTTCGAATGAGGGGGGTTTGGGGGCCCCGCCCCCTCCCCCTCCGCCCCCCACCCCAAAAACGGTGAGCCAATAACTAAACATTTCCCCACTTCACTAATCACTTTTCTTTTCAATATATATTTTCTTCATAAACAATCCCTTCATACCATTCCTTCCTACCCCACCACGGCAAATGTTGGAAATTTTCCATCTCACATATGTTTATACGACACAACAATGTATTCCATTAATTAAATATGGATTAGCTACACGATTCGAAAGTTGTCACGAAGGTCTTAGGTGCGTGAAATAGCAACCTTAGCAACTAACAACTGTTGAAATAAAATCCTCTAGAGCCACTTTTACGATATGGTCACAGCCCTCAAACACCCCTCATACACCGTTTTCCAAACCAAGAGTGTATTATACTAGAATTTTCGCCAAACAACTAAACATTTCGCTTAATATCTTTGACAGAGTCAAAAATAATTTTTACTAAGAATTTCACATTTCACATTTCGTACTTCCGTTTGTTTTTATTTTAATGTTGTAGAGCTGGTATTTCAATTTAAATATATTTTGAGTTATTACTACGCGTTTCGAACACAAAAATGTATAACATATTTTTGATGATCTCATTTATGAATTATTGAACCATTACGCCACATATGTATGTATGAATATGTAGTTATTGTCTACCAGCAGTTTAAACAGGCGATAGTTTAGTTTGATTGACCAGCAGATTTTTTGTGTTTGTTTCTATAATTTTTGCTCGCTCGCGTTCATTAGCATTCACTGTGTTGCACAATTCAAGTCATCAAACATAACTAGTGATGTTCCAATACAAGAATGATAGAATACAAGATTGCGCCGATTGCAGCAGAATTCGTGAGAGTAATTTTAGCGTGACTTCATCATAGACTTGACAACTGAGAGCGACGAGAAAGAGGGCGACTAGTGATGTGCTGAATTGTCCCCAATACTCGGTACCCAATACTTAAAAAAGATTTCGGTACCCTATACTTCCTTTTCGGTATCCGATACCGATTATTTACATTAAATCCTCGCCATTATATGCATTTCAGGTTTAGAAAAAACTTTCATTACTAATTTATATGATATCGGCTAAAACACTTGAACTTATCGCCACAAAAAAATATTATTTTATCAGTTTTAACCTTAGTCGATCCAAGGTTCAAGAAAAATACTTTGACGGATGAAGAAGCCTTTCAGGGGAGAGATTCTGTAGCCAGTTAGCGACAAGTTTCGGATCGATATCGCACTTGTTGACTTACAAATATTTGATATCAAACGTCGACAAAACCGATACCGATTCGAAAATTGTCGTTAACTGGTTACAGAATCTGTCCCAGGCCTACAAAAATGATATCGTCCGATTCAGCTGGAACAAAAATGCTTCAAACAAGTAAGGGTTTCTCTGTATTATGGCATCGAACCGACATATATACATATTTCATTTGAATCAGTAAAAAAGCTCTATTGGCTCTTACATTCGGGTTTTGTTAGGCGTTTTTTTTTTGGCCTATGTGCGCTTTTATTCGAAACCTAAATGTTTCGGTACCGAGTATCGAGAGTATTGGGTACTTAAAAGTATTGACTCAGCACATCACTACTGCCGTCTCTTCTACAATGACGTCACCAAAACAGCTGATGCTGTCAAAATCACTGAGAGCCGAGTAGCGGTATCGTTATCGGCGCCACCTCTGTATTCTCTCCATCCTGGTTCCGATACCAGTCAAGAATGATAGAATACAAGATTGCGCCAATCGAGCTGAGAGCAACTGGCCGTGACGTCAAAAAATACCAGTATGAGAGAGCAAGACGAACTCGACAAGAAAAAGAGGAAGCATCGGACAAAAGGCAGTATTGCCAAGTTTTGAATTTGAAAAAGCACAAAATTTTTATTGGTGTATTTTATAGACTTTATATGCATACATAATTTCATTGTAAGGATGCCGATTCAAATTAATAAAAATCAATGTTTCTTGCACGACGGTTGATTTCTTCTGGCATGATTGAAGGTGCTGCCACATATTTTGTTGTCGCTTATGATTGTCACTGTGCCATGATTTTGTTTAAATTTTTGTAAAGTTGCTTACCACACTTACGATTGCTATAAATTTTGCCTCCGTTTTTTTTTTTAAGATTTTCTAATTTGGTGTCTTCAAACTAAAAACAAAAGCACCAAAAACGCGCCAAGCACCAAACTCAAAAATTTTCGCGTTTTGAATACCCACTAAATTTGGTGCGAAAAGCATGAAGTTGGCAACAGGGAATGTAAACAAAAGTATTTTATGACGTCAGCGATTAGGTGGATGCTGTCAAATCGACGAAGAGAGGGTTAGCGGTCAGCGAATGGCGCGACCTTTATTTTCTGGATCGTGGATACCAGTACTTAGAGCAGTGTTGCCAAGTATTAAGTTTGAAAAAGCACTAAAACCCAAGGAAAAACGCTTTTTTTCTCGAAAAAAGCACCAAATTTTTACCGGAGTTTTTAATGGAGTTTACATGCATAACATTTTTTGGACGGATGCTGACAAGGCGATTTATATAAGGTGGTGTTGTTTCATCAGCTGTGAGTAGCGTTTGATTGTCCAAATTTTGAGTGATGCAATAATACAAGGTGTTATGTAAAAGATTTTAAATTAATTAAAGAGTTATTCGCAAAAAATACTTGGACTTTGCACTTTTCGCACCATGTTTGGATGAATTTGATGCAAATAAATGGAGTAAATGAAAGTTGTTCTCTGCAAAAGGTGTTCAGCCCCCCTTCTTTGGCAACACAGTAAGGAAAATCCTACTGCCTGAGGGTTATAATCCCTAAGTGCGGTCGAAGTCCGCCTACGCAAAAAGGAGTTGGACGCCTGGTTCCGCTAAAGTTCACTTTTACCTATTGTATTTGTTGAATCGATTCCACCCAAGGTGGCGCATTCTCGAAACCGCTATTTTGGTTTTGCCGACTTTGACATTTATGGCAATACGTAAACAAACTTTTTGTTTATAAAGAAGTGCGTATTGCAAACGTATTGTGTACCTTCAAGTGAAAAATCGAAGTAATTCGTGCGTTCTGAAGTAAAAAAAGTTTTATTTGTAATAAAAACTTTATAAAAATGTCGTGTCGTGTGTTGAATTGCAGCAGCCCTAGGGGCATAGTCCCCAAATGCAGTTTTTTTTGTTTCCCCGCGACGACGCCTTGACTAGAAAGTGAGTACAGTTCATGGTGAAATGAACTGAAGGTGGCGCATTCCCGAAACCGCTACTTTGGTTTTGCCGACTTTGACATTTACGGCAATACGTAAACAAACTTTTTGTTTAGAAACAAGTGCAAACTTATTGCAAACGTATTGTGTACTTTCAAGGGAAAAATCGAAGTAATTCGTGCGTTCTGAAGTAAAAAAAATTTATTTGTAATAAAAACTTTATAAAAATATCGTGTCGTGTGTTGAATTGCAGCAGCCGTAGGGGTAAAGCCCCCAAATGCAGTTTTTTTTGTTTCCCCGTGACGACGCCTTGGCCAGAAAGTGGGTAGAGTTCTGCCGGCAGGAGAAGCCATACAATTTAGACACCAGCGTAATATGCATGAAGCACTTTACGGACCACTTTTAAACACGACATGTTAAGTTGAAAACGTTGAAATGCCACAAATTGCAAATTGAAATCGGAGGTAAGCAAGCATCGACCACTTTCTGCAGGAAAACATGCGCTGCGACAAGATATTATCACTTTTTCGGCACCTGCAATACAAACACAAAAATTCTAAATAGTTAATTAATAAGACCTATTCTTTTGAACACATTTCAAGAGTGGTTGTATATTTTTTGTTAACGTAGTGCTTAATTTGCTATATTCAAAGATGGCTTGAGAAATTGGTGAATCGAGAAGAAAACACGTTTTCTCACTGCAAATTCACAACTGCCAACTCATTGTTCTTCGCCATATTCTTTGTTTACCCGTTGCCACAAATGTCATTCTGCGGGAATGCGCAATCTTGTATTCTATCGTTCTTGCACCTTATATATATTCGCCNTACCTTCAAGTGAAAAATCGAAGTAATTCGTGCGTTCTGAAGTAAAAAAAGTTTTATTTGTAATAAAAACTTTATAAAAATGTCGTGTCGTGTGTTGAATTGCAGCAGCCCTAGGGGCATAGTCCCCAAATGCAGTTTTTTTTGTTTCCCCGCGACGACGCCTTGACTAGAAAGTGAGTACAGTTCATGGTGAAATGAACTGAAGGTGGCGCATTCCCGAAACCGCTACTTTGGTTTTGCCGACTTTGAC